AATCATAAATAAAATTTTTTTTTTAATATATCATTAAGAATACTTATGATTACATTTTAATATACGCACAGAAAATTAAAGCATTAGATTTATCCTATCTTCATAGAGTAAAACATATTAACACAAAGAATAATATTGTTTTTAGTATTTAAAATTATATAATAAAAATTATGAAAATAACAATGAACATAATTCATTGTATAACATTACTTAATAAAACATAAGATGTAATTATATCATAATTAGCGTTAATTCTAAAAAAAGTAATGAATACATGATTTCAAGGCCTAAAAAAAGGATGATATTATTTCAACAAAAAATATAAGAATTTCTTATATTTTTTAGAAATAATAATGTATACAAGAGCTATAATAGAATATTTTTATAATGACTACAGCAGAAAGCCATAGAAAAGTATATAAGACGAAGCTCATTTAAGATATATAATATCCATGCATAAGATAGACATAATTGCAAGAAATATGATAATATATCTAATAATTTAGAGATTATCCATTTAATGGAATATTATATGCTTCATTTATTTAAAATTATCTAATACTTCTGTTATATATATGGATTATTTGTTATGTTACTTTATTTATGGTATTTATAAGTGGCGTATATATTATATCTTTTATTATTTGTACAATATTATATATGCGTGTTTTTATATTTAAATATATAAAATAAATACGATAAATTCTATATTTTCCTTTTATTTTTAATTATTATATCAATTAAAATTATACCTTCACTATATTTCGAATGAAGCATTTTTAATGTAAAACAAATTGACATATATACCATATATTCAACTAAGTAAATAAAAACATATGTATTTATAAAAAATCACTATTATTCTTTTACATTTTTATATAATGTATTATGTTTTTATAGTGATGTTTTCATATATTTCGTGAATTCCATATGTAAAATTAACTACATATTAGGTAAATATATAGCAAATAAACATTCAACAGAATGAATCGTAATAATTTATAATAAATATAAAGTATTGTTGCAAAAATATTTTGTAAAAAATATTATTTTATTATCTATAAGGAAAAAAATAAAAATTATTTTTCATAATAAAATTTCTTATATAATATAAGACACTATAATATATAATTTTTATTGTTAGTCAACATCTCATGAGTTTCATAATTCACTGAATTGGTTATAAATAAAAAAAATGTTTATTTCCCCTAGCATATTATAAATATTTTTCATTTATATGATTGGGCATGATTATTCTTAATATTGTAGTTTTTTGTTTCTTTCAATTATTAGTATTAATATAAAATTTAAATGTATGTTATTAATATAGTATTGTATGAAATTATTGTACGAATATTTTACGAAAGCATTGTTTCTTTATGATCTTAGCTTAATAATTATTCTTTTTTTAGGATATAAAAAAATGCAATTTATATAAAAAGAACCTTGTGTATAATATTGTTCATTATGCAAGAAAAAATAAAATATATTGTATAAAAAAAAAAAAGTCATGCAACACATACTACTATATATTATACAATAAAAAATCCATCCTCATAAAAATCAATATGAAAATCACCATGAATTAAATGAGAATTTTTAATTGCTTTTTTTTTGTTGTTAAATACTATATTTGTTTAGAGTGAAGTTTTTACATTATTATATAATTTTGGTAAATATGTTTATTTTGTTGTATAAATATGATTTAAGCCTAGATTGCATTATACTAATTTCGTGTTGTTAAGTTTTTATTATATTTAACTATATATTACGAATTTTATATGTAAAAGTATAAAGGTATGTAATTTTGTGAATAAAATTTTTTTGGTTATAAATTCAAATACACATAATTACTGACATGTATTGTAGAATCATAGTATTATTTTCCAAATATAATATATATATGAATATTCCATTATTAATTATTGTAATTAAAAATATTTTATATGTCACTGACATAGAAAAATTAAGGATACTTCAAATACATATATGAGTTATATTATGATTGTAATGTATATTATGCACATTAGAGATATATACATTTTGGTTATGATTATTATGTGCTTATAATTATATTTGCTTTTTGTCCTTAATGTTCGAAATTAAAACAGAAAACAATGTAAAATTAAATTTTATCGTATGTTAGTAAATTATATAATTCCAAAAATATATATTAGTTCCTTAAGCACCATTATTTATTATGAACATAATAATGAAAAATAATTATAGTTTTTTTTTTACATTATTTATTTAGACATTTTTGAGGATTAAAAGAAACTCATTATTACACTATGTTATGAACATTATTTTTTAAAAGAATAATAATATAATATTTTTGTGTAAAAATATTACCTAATGAATAAAAATCTAATTACCTTTTTAAACCATAAATTTAAAACTTTTTTATTTTTCGACCAAAACATTGTAAAATAGTTAAATCATAAATAAAAGTTGATTTAATTTTACTGCCGTTTAACACCTCGTATATCTGAGGATATATATATACGCATAATTCTTTCATATCAAAACAATTGCTAAAGGTGCTTATGCTTTTATATATAGAGAGTGAAAGAAATTAATTAATATAAATATAATAACTATTTAGGTTTTAGAATACATAATATTTTTGATATTATTCTTACTTTTAAATACGTTTATTTTGCAGTTTTAAACTAAGGTTAAAGTAATTACAAATATACTTTTAGCAAATGAATGTATATCATATTGATTATAAATGTTTGTAGCAATAATATTTCATAAGAACCAATATTTTTCTTTAAAAATATATTCAGCATATATGATATAATTATTAGCATATAGTATATAAATCTGATTCGTAGAATAGTATATTTTGTATAATTGAGATTTGAGAATTTCAAATTATTTTATATCTAAATATGAGATCATAACATTAGTGGTTCTGGTTCTTATATATTTTATGGATTTATTAATATCTAATATAATATTATAAGTACATTTTTCTAGAACTGGGAAAATATTTATATGTTAGTTTTAATTTATTATTGAATATATATTTATGTCATTATTCAAAATAATAATGCATGCATATGTATGTGGAAGACTGAATTAATAACAAGAAATATATATTTTCTCAAAAATATGTGCTTGAACAGAGTTATATTTTTATTATAATTATATGCATCATTTAGCATACAAAATATTTTATTTTTATGAATTAATAATTATGTAATACACAATAAATATATTCACGCAATATTATATACTATATATACATAAACGTTTTGTAATTTATAAAACTTGATATTTTAATTTCTATTATAGAATATTCATTTATATTATATTTAATGGTTGTTATATATTTGTAATAATTATGTGTTTTTTTTATTCATTTATTTTTTTAATATTTTCTGTTCAATATATTAACTTATAAGTACATAAAATATACAGAGGAATTAATATAAATGTTTCTTTCTAGATTTATACATATACTTTTAGGTGGAATTTAATATAAATTATATATATTTTTGTAGCAATATATTCTTTATTATTCACGTTTGCAAAGAAATTAATTACCTTCTTTATTTATTATCATTCTTATTATTGATTATTTTTGTATAATATATAAATTAATATTTAGGTATTTATTTTATTACGTGTGATATAATAGAATTAATGGATTTATAGAAATATTTCATGTTATTGTTAATAAATGAAACAATGCATGTATATAAAAATAATTTTTACAATAAAAATATATAACCATATATATATTTAGTATAAATGAAGATTTTATAATACTTTTTTAAATATTTCAATAATAAAAAGCAATAATAGTTAAATATTAGACATAAAAATACATATTGTTAAACTAATTCGTATAAAAAAATGAATAAAAAAGGAGTTCTATATTTTACAGTATTTGGACCAGTATAAAAGATATAATTATTTTAAGTTTCATAAATGATGTATAACATATATTCCTTTACTTAATATATAGAATTCAAAATATGAGGAATAATGAACTAGATAAAATTATTATTATTAAATATCATTCATAATGGTATAATTCACTTTCACTACATATATGATAAATTATCGAATTTATATAAAAAATATCGCACAGAATATTATATGGAGAATGTAAAAATTAATACAGCAATTTGTGAATAGGTAAATAGGAATATTTTATAAACTGTAATGATATAATTTTATCAAATTTATTTATTAATTATTTATACTTAATAAATATTATTAGTTTTTAGAGTAATTAACTATTTTAACGTTTTTTATATTATATCACTTATTTCTTCTTATTTATCTTACATGAGACTTTTTATAATATGCTTTAATCTTATATATAAGTTTAAAGAATATATATAATACATATAGCACACTTTTTTTTTATTGAAACTTTACTTTTTATCAATTTAAACAATTTTAAACAACATTAATGAACAGTTATAATCATCAGAAAATTAGCGAAAATTTTAAGGAAAATCTTCAAATACGTAAATTATAAATTTATTAGGATAATTATTTTATAGAGTATATAGCTCATATTAGCTTTATGTAGAAATGAAACTACCTAAAATTAAACAATGATATGTTAAAGTTATAATAGATGTGATAAAATGATAGTCATATTAATTAATATAAACTATATATAAAAGTGGTATACATAATACTTATAAATATGATTTAAATAGACTTCATATATAGGATATATATTTTATTATGTATTTACAGTAACTTAAATTAAAATGAATTTTATAAAAACACTTTAATAAAATAATAGATTATATATTTACAATAAATTTTATTTTTTTTTGGAAAACATATATATATTCACTGAAATCTAAATATATATTTGATAAATTCCTATCACTCTTTCCATTTTCATATATACTATAATTACATTATTGTCGTAACAGCTTTCTGTTATCATTTGAATTTCACAAATAAATATAAAAAAATATTACATTTATATTTTATTATATTGGGGCATGGGCTATTTCGTTTTATTGTATTTGTGTTTTTATCCCTGATATGTGAATTATACCAGCCTTTTTTTTTCCTGAACATGATGGAGAATTTTGTCTAATTCTAAAGTGACGAATCTGATGTAAATATTTTCTTATTAAGCTTCTTCTATAATATGTATTATTTATAAATTTATTAATTTTGGAAAACTATAAAAAGAGAATAAATAATTAAAATATAGCTTCTATTATTAAATGTAATAATTTTAAAATTAAAATGCTTTAAATACTTCATAAAACTATTAATAATTTTTAATATTACGTTATATATAATAAAAAAGATGAGTAGAATAACTATTTTTAACCAAACACAAACAGAAATAACCATTTTTGTCGTTAATGTCTTTTTTATTTCCTCTATCCACTCATTGAACAACGAAGTAATATTATCCTTCTGTGTAAGACATTTTGATTCATCATTATTGAATTTATGGATTCTAAAACATTTAGCAAAAAATGTATTTGGACTATCAGGTAAACTTAATTTTTCCGTATTTGAATCGGAAATTATTGAAGTACAATAACTCATAAGTATAGGAATATGCGATGGTCTAATAAAAAAATCATTACTATTCAACACCTCTGATATAACACTTTCGCAGGTATTCTATAAAAAAATAGAAAAAATTAAATATAAATTACATAAAAATAAACACATAATACATATTACAAACGAATATATATAAATAATATAATTTTTATATATAATTATTTTCTTTGTTTAAATGTATAATAGTATTATTATAACCCTTGTCATATTTTCTAGGTACAGTCTTTAAGGTAAAAGATATTGGTTTAAGGTGTATTACATAAAATGTGATTATTAATTAAATTATAGCATTTAAACTCGATTTTAAAGGTTTCCTTTACATTCATTATATTACATATATTTCATTTTTAGTTCTGTTACTATATATGATATTATAAAAACATAAAAAAATAATATATTCGCACTTTTCTTAGTTTATATTTCTGTTGGTTACAGATTATTTATAAATGGTTTACTATTTTATAATAATACTAGAAATATATTAACTATGTCTATGGATATGTATTTGCATACATAATTATTATTTTATTATTAATACATGTTTTTTATTTTTTGAATGCATTATCTTTAATAACAGTTTCATACATTAATGTATTTTAAATATATATTTTTATATATGTTATATCTTATTTTTTTTTATTTATTAAGATGCAGATAATTAGTTCTATAAGTCCTTAATTAACTTTTGTACAAAAAAATTAATTTTATGAAGTATTAATATATTTTAAACTTTTCCAAATCCATTATATTAATAAATATATAACGCTAAAATTATTTAAGTATAAACTAATATTTATCTTTTTATATTGCAATTATAGTGAAAGCAATATTAATCAAATATTTTTTAGTAGCTCATAATAAAATGGTTAAATATTCTGCAATTAATAGTTTATAAATGTTTCTAAATATGGTTAATATTATATAATATTTCATTTTTATAAAACATATATAATTTTTCAATAATTAATATTGATATTTTACATTATTTCCTCTCTACATTGTTTTTTATGACAGTAATTATTAAATTATTTTTTCAATATTTTTATATTCATAATAAGTTTTATGGTAGTGTAATAGGATTTTATGTATTTCCATTAGATATCTTCTATGATGTAGATATATTAAAAACATTTTTTATTTATTGTGTAGCTTAGAAGCAATCATATTTATGCACTATTAAATTATCATTTCTTATTGTTATTTGAAAGAATATTATCAATTTTATTGTATGCAATATTTGCAACAGTAATATATTTATATAAACGTAATAACAATATAATTTCAAGAGTATTTTAATTTATTAAGGAATAATACATTATTTATAGAAGGATTAATGTTTTTTTAACATGATAATTAAAAAAAAAAGTAAAAGTTAATTGAAAAATTAATTTATAAAACATATGTATAATATTTTAGGGTTTAGGTTTTAGATTTGAAGGTTTACTAAAATTCGTTTTTGTTATTATATATTTATAAATTTACAAATATGATAATAACAATGAGATAACTGTTAAAATTAAAAATTGGTATATTTTAGTTTTAAGAAATTTTTAACTTTAGTATATACCTGCAGTTATGTGATACGTGAAAATTGCAAGCCCATTGAAATTATTATTCGTTATCTCACTGTAAGATAAACTTGCAAAATAAGTGGATAAAATATATATCACATGAGATGGACTATATCCAATTTAGAATATGTGACAATTTTTAAGTAAATCTAATGAACGGAATGAAGAAATAGAAATATTTTTTAGGTAAAATATATTTTTGTTGGAATAAATTGTTCCTATTAGTTATTTCATTTTATTTTTATATTTTAATCTCTGAGTACTTGTGAATTTATAGCTACTGTACATATTTTAAGAATGAATACGGATTATGATTAATAACTATACAATAAAATTATATTTTATTAGTTAATAATTTGTTTTTATTCTGTTATATGTCTTATTCCACAAATATGTAGCATAGAATTTAAGATATATTCACTAGTGTATATTAATTATAGAGATAAGATGTTTGTATAACTATATATCATTAAAAGTAAAAATGTATGATGTAAATTTGTATATATATTGTTTAATAATGATGTGTTAAATGTGTTAGTTTTTTTTATTAGATGGTTCTTTAAGAGGAAATAAATCATGAATATTTTTATTATTATATATATTTTGAATAAATATTATTATAGAAATAACTTCAATAGAATATTTTCATGATTTATATAAATAAATTTTAATTTTTTTTTGAATACATGGTTTCTGTAATCTTTCCAACATACATTGTCTATCATGTATATAGTATGTTAATAATATAATAAAAAAAAATATTAAACATCGATACCTGATATTCATACTTTTATAAGAAGAAATTCATAATATAAAATCAACAATGGGATCTATAGTAACATGTGAAAATTGTGTAAAAATAATAAAAAAACACGCTAATTATTAC